CCTAACCATCAAACCCAGCCCGGACCCCTTGTGTGTTGCCTCATGTGGCCGAGCCGCTGCCGCGCGCCGGCGCGGCCTGGCTTCGAGGAGGCAACTCTGGGCCCAAACCATCCCCACTACCCCCGCGTGCCCAAGGCCCCCGGGTGACCCCCAATGGCCATCTGCCTCCGCCTGGCCCCTGCCTTGATGGTCTGGGGTGAGAGGCATCAAACTCCTGCAGCCCGCTCTCCTGCAAGCATCTTCCCTGGGCCGCACCCGTGTGATCTTCATGCGACTCCACGCGTGCCAGGTGGGGGTCCGGAGAGGGTGCTGCTGCAGGACCTGGGAGCCTGGGAGGCTCCTGGGGGCTGGTTGGGAGGTGTGCCCCCAACGTTTTCCCTGCATTGGGCTTACCGGCCTCCGAGCTGCTGCTGCTGCTGCTGCTGCTAGCGTAGCGCGTGGCGGACCAGACGAGCGGTTTGCCTAGACTGGTGGAGCGGGGAGGACCCTGGGGGCCGCCGGCATATGCGAGGCAGATTGTCCGGTGTGCTGCCGCGGCGTTCCTGCCCACCGCTGACTGCTGGATCCTGAGGGAGCATCGATGTTTGGGAGCTCATCATCCCCCCAGGCCTCCCTCCACCCTGCATCTGCTGAATTTGATGTGGGAGGTTTGAGGAAGCATGGGCCGCTCTGTGGAGGAATTCCCCCCCCCTGTCGCTGCTGCTGCATCTCTGCTGCTGCCCATTTCCGCTGCCTGCGTTGTGGAGGCCCGGTCGGAGTTGCGTCTGCGTGTTGAGGTGTGATTCCTCCAGAGTCGGGGTACTGGGGACTTGACCTGTTGTTCTGGTGAACGGAAGTCCTGCAGCTGCCCGGAGGACCGACCGGCCGGCGCTGCCCCACCCTGCTCCGCCATCCTCCCGCCTCAACATCTCGCCTGCTGGAGCCCCCGGTGCTCGCGCAGCTGCTGCGTCGACGGAGCTTCTGCTGATGTTCGACGCAGAACCGACGGGGCACTTGGTTCTCCTGGCAGGTGTTTGGGTTTGGCGTGGACAGCAGAGCCGATGAGCTGCTGCAGATGGGACACCGGCGTTGTTTTTCCTCCTTGCAGCCCTTGTGTGCGCACCCCACGCGATTCATCTCTGACAGACGGCAGCGCAGCAGTTGGCGTTTGCGGCAACCTGGGCAGCATGGACCAGCGACTGGATGCAGCGCTGGATGCTGACGCGGCGAGAGTGCTCGTGCACTGGATCGCTCGCCGACCACGTTTGTTCGCTGCGTCGTCCAGCCAGACCGCAGCCTTGTCCATCTTTCGTGCTCGACCTTTGCGTGGTAGCAGGGAGCAGCAGGTCTAGTCCTGAGGAGAGAGGGGGAGAAGAAAGAGGGGAAAATAAGCATGAACCCAAAGAATGGAGTCAAGTTTTACATGTAAAGACTTAAAAGCCTTCAAATCGGTTTTTGACCCATATTCTTTGTGAGTTCTAACATTGCAAAACACGAATTTGATTCACAACTCATAAAGTCTAATCGGAAACCAAGGAAAACTGGCAACTAAACTGGATTATAAAAATATGTGTTTACAGTGAACAAGTCTGTCGATAACACAAAGAAACACATAGTTTAGCAGTATGAAATTCTAAATAAGTGATCCAGAGGGGAACACATTGTCTATCTGTCATCACTAAACCCGAACTTTTGACTTAATAAAAATATCCACAGAAGCACTTTTTCCTGCATAGTTTGAACGCCAGTCAGAGAACAGGATTTGAGAGGGCGTGTCCCTTACCCTCCGCAGACCGGTGCAGTGGAAGCGCGCTCCACCGTGGGTTGCTCGTTTGCCAGGTGTAGACGCAAGCGGCTCCTGGCTCTGGTTGTCGCAGCTCCACCACCAATGCCATGAGCTCCACCTAGCCCGCCGGAGGACGCCCTGAACCCAGGTGTTTGTCCCCGGGCTAACGTGAGGAAGGCGCGCGGCCGTCCATGCAGGCGCAGCATCAGGCCGTCGGGATCCGAGATGGGGGCACCGAGTTGCGGCCGTGACGCGCATGACAAAGAAGACCTGGGGGATTAGAAAGAGGAGAGAGTCAGCTGGAGGAACCGGGCTCTAGTACATTTCATTAAAGAGCTTTTCTCTCACAATACAATTGCTTTATCCTCCAGCGCAAACAAGTTGGCCCAACACAGATGCTTAGTTTACCTTCTGAATGTTAAAGGTGGGGTAAGGCATTTGAAAACCAGCTCGAGTGCCTAGAAGTTGAAAATACACAGCCGGAACAAATCTCCACTTCCTCACAGGAGCCCCTCCCTCCAAACACACACCAACGCGCACGATGACCAATGAGGCACAGATCAGTTGTGCACAGATGGAAGGGCTACATGCAGGTATGCCATCCAGTTACGTTAGCCCCGGCTCAGATGATTGGTCGTGCTTTTACAGTACCACGGCTTCCACAGATAGATATTTTAATGTATTTATTGTCTAAGCTTAATGTATTCATTGCATCAGACGTTATAGCATTCCATGGAATATAACAACAATGGCCGAGCCAGTTTTCAAACTAACCTACCCCACCTAAGTTAATATTTTCTTGTCCGTTTACTGGGGTTTAGTTCAAAATAAACTACTAAGTGAACAAAAGTGCTTCCTCAGTGTTATAAATTCAAAACTCTACATCTTAGTAAAGCTCTTTGCTTTCTGATAGATGTAATTCCACAAAAAGGTTGGGCCTCTGGGTGCACACTGCGTGTGAACATTTTAAAACAGCAGCAACCAATCTGTAGCAGGGACTAATGGCTGAATAACGCCGGCCGCAGAAATTAGAACGAATTGTCACAGTTAGCCATCTAAGCTAGTGGGCGGACGTGAAGCATGTGAAACCGGGATGATTCCTTTATAGCCTAACGTTACGTTTTACTTCTGGAATGCATTATGCGTCAACAATCATAAAGGGGTGTAATATGCAGGAGATTATCCTGCTGCAGTAAAACGTGTAAGTACGATAAACATACATGCCACAGATTTAATTTTATTATAGACAATATTCCCAAATCTAGAGAGAGGAGAATATCATTGCTTTGTGTCGAGGAGCCTTGTGAATGCTACTCTCTCTAAACGCAGAACGTTATGTTCCTAAATTCATTAAGTGGAGGTCAATGTGATAACCTGACGTGTCGACACAAGCAACATAATGGTGTATAATTATGCCATTTAACCAGGATCAGGAATCCCGAATCAGATGTAATTCCCTTAAGTATTTTTGGATCTTTGGACCCTTTCCATACATTTTAAGACCTCATCTCCACTTGGAGTTCTAACCGGTTACCTTGGCGACACACTTCACCTCACATTGACTATATACAGTATTGATTGTCCTTCCTCCTTATCTTCCAACCATTTGGACGCAGACTTGCATTTCCCCATAACGATGTTGCTTAGCAACCGGCGTAAACGGACCTCCGCGCGCTATCAAGCAGTGAGCGTGCGATGTCCTGTTCAGATGACGTCAAATCCAACGGGATGCCATAAATAAAACTACACAGAATCACACTACACAGCTACGCAATGATTACATTCAGGCAGACTGTAGAATACAACCTCTTTGGACCATTTATATACTTATTGAAAACAAGCTACAAAATGTAATACCTTGGAGAATGCCCTTTAATACTTTTTAATAGCCTTCATTTTCGCTAAATTGATTTATCAACTTTTAATACTTTCTAAGACCCCGCGGACCCCCTGATCTAGTTACAAAATGTTAAATAACACTGCAAAACATTATGACAGTGTGAAAGGGGATGCTCAGTATGAAGAACCTGTAGAGAATAATCACCAAACTAGTCCCTCGGGCTTCACAGAGCTTACAAGTGACTTCAGCTCATTGTTTATCCGTCTGTCCGACAACTTTACTGATCTGGTTCCCTCCCACCACTTGTTTACAGCCGAACACATCGGCAGTGTACCTCTAAAAACACTGCACACTACCTACTCAACAGCAAACAGCAGTTAGCAAACAGCTGGTGAACATCGTGGAAACACTTGAAGAGTCCCCGAGGAGATGGAGGGGACCAAACATGGAGCAACAAGAGAGTTTAAAGTGAAGGTGGTGGGAGTAATGGAGGGTAACACTGATGATACCCAGTCAAACAGAACTTTATAATCACATCAAATGATAATAATCAAATGAAAATGAAGGGTTCTGACATTTTCTGGCGGTATAAATGATCTTGATTGATGGTATGTGCTCATAAAACGCAGACATGTTGAATGCATCTGCAGTCTGAGAACAAACTGCATACATTTAAATTCAAACGGTCCTTTTATTCCAGCACTAAAGAAGTCAACTGAATACATGAAATACTCTTTTTATGCCTTTTCATAATTCATCATGGTTAATGGCGGAGCGTTTATTGATTTCACTGATGTTTTGCAGTTATTCAAACATAATGAGAGTATCCTTCATACGGCATGTTAAATATTTAGCCAACGTTTCTTAGAAAATAAGCACCAGCTGCATGTTGCCTTAGTACATAGACATGTGCACCGTTTAATAAGTAAATGTGAGAAATAATCAATTTTCTCCCATTTGCCCACATTAAGGTTTCAGTATGGCCTCTTTTATAATACTGAATATTTTAGAAATTCACTTGTGATCAACAAACTTCAACCTGGGTGACTCAGGCCTTGTGCTTTTAAACACAAAATGCTTTGAGCTGCACTTCACTGCAAATTATTCCTACAATCCTGTCCTCAGAAGAGAAAATAAATAAGAACTCCCTGGATGTTAAGCCACCACTTCAAACAGTGACCGTACAGAGCTGCTTTACTTGAACCTGTCGACTCCCTTTCATCTCACCTGACTTTAATTACTCCTGGCACATCACTGCGCTCCGTAAAGGAGAAATTAATGAGAAGGATAAAAAATGTGATTACATGCTCATTAGGCTCTTTAGACATACAATGAACATAAATGGCGTTGCTCTGCATGTGCTGGAAAGACGGAGAATATTACATTGATTCGTGTTACATAACGTTTGGCATCACTTACATGTGGCTTTTGAAAATGCCGCAATTAATTATGAGGTACTGTAAAACCCCGTTATCTAATTATGCTGCTTTGAATGACGCTGATTATGAAGACTGTGATGAAGACATCCCGTGCTGTGATAATTGTTTCATTAATGAAGGGCTATTTGGATGTTTAAAACCCATATTTCTTATAAGCCTTGCCAGTGGGGACTTCACAAGACGCAGCCTCCACACTGCAGAGCTTTGTTTACATGCAGCACTACAGCCTTAAGCCTGAGCCTTGGACAAATTGCAGACGATTATGTGTGAGCATAACTATAAAGGGAGAAATAAGACTGCAGTTCATGACAGCAGGGAAATGACTAATGTTGTCTGAGTTCTACCAGGATCCAGGCAAATAATATATTCACCAATAACTCTTGTGTACATGATTGCATGGACACAGGAACGTTCTTAGAATGAGCTTCTGCTGTGCATGTAAACAGCTTGATCATTTCCTCCCCCCCCCCTAAAGGGTAGACGTGTGAATGCAAACACATTACAATTGACATTCAGGATGGAATGAACTTGAAAGCAATCAGGAAACACAGAGCGTCTCATCAGTATACATGTAAAGGAGACTTACCTGAGGGTGAACTGCTCCACAGTGGAGTTGGGCATCAAGTAGAGGGAGATTTGGAGCACTTCCCCCGGCTTCAGGGGCTTTTCGGGCAGCCTGAGGAACATGTTCTTGTCCAGCTGCTTGTCCACCAGCAGCTGCTCCTGGCTGGCCTGGTAGAGGCTGATGCTCCCGATGCGCAGCAGGGGGTGCTGTGACAGAGGTTCTCCCCTGGAAGCACCTCCACCCCTGTGCCCTAACCCCTCAATGCACTCCCCGTCCACATTGGGCCCGTGCAGGGTGTAGTAGAGCTCCGCCTGCAGGGTCTCACTGGTCAACCCGTCCAGGAGCCCGTCCGTCGAGCCTTTCCTCCGACCCAGCGGCGCCACGTTGGTGTTAAACCAGGACGGAGGTAGCTCCAGCTGCGCCAAACACTGCGCCAGGTTGCCCTTCATGCGGCAGGACGTTTTAATCTCACGGACATCCCGGAAGGCGTGCAGACGGACGCAGGGAAGCTTGTCCTGAGCCTTGAAGTCGTCCCAGTCGCGCCCGGCGATGTAGAAGAACACCTGCAACGTGGGGTTGTTGGAGAACACCCTCGCCTGGACAATGAACGCCCGCACCTTCCAGTTGACCGTCAGCTGTCCGGGGATATCCAGCGGACTCGTGGGCTGCAGCAACTCTTTGGACAGAGCCTGGTCCCGGGCAAAAGGCCCAAAGGTTATGTTGATGGCAGGCAGCTCTTTTGTCTGGAAAACCACAAAACTCTCCGAGCGCTGCAGCGGGTGTCCAGAGCTCGGGTTGCTCCTGCCGCCAACTGTTGGTCCTGAGATCTGAGCCTCCCGTAGGAAGAAGGCCAGTTGTGCGTTGGACATTTTGAAGTTGGCGGGAAGGTACACATTGGGAGGAGAGGGGTTGGCCGTCACTGCTGAGAAGCTGAGGAGAGCATCTGAGCTGGTGGGAGAGATTTTACCTGCAAGAGCTGTGGAGAGAGGAAGGAGAAAAAGAGGTTACACATTTGAATGCAGCCTCTTTTTTTAAACAGAACGAGAACAAACATATTCATGAACCCAAACGAGGAGAGAGGTAAAAGCAGGAAGTCACCGCTCAGTCAGCCGCGGAGAGTAAAGGGGAGAAGGTCAACACACACTAATCACATGATAAGTGGTCAATACATGTCAAGCATCCAGAGCACAGGCTACTCCATGAAACATGAAACTCCACGTGAGCTTTGAGTGAGCTGCACTATTCAACAGTTTGAACACAAAGCTGTCGAAATCTATTTAAAAATGACAAAGGTACAAACTAACAAGGGATATGAAAGTCTGAACGACAGGATAGAACAAGAAAAACGTGTGTCTGGATGGTGCACACCAGGCTAAACGTGGTGCACTGCACTTGTTGCAAAAGACGAGCCAACATAGCTTACGACAGTGAAATCAAAGCAGGACAAAATCATCATACGGAATAGGTCAGAATAAATGTGACATACTTATCAAAATGACCCAGAGCTGAGTAACAAAACATAGTTTCCTGTCCCCATGGTCCAAATCATAGATTAAAAGTCCCATATTCCAACTGGTGTTATCATTGAGATCGCATCCTTGAAAAAAGTAGAAACAAATCTCTTTGGATTCCCCCTTGAAAAAAGAAAGGTCCTCTCCAGAAGGTTTGTGACTCGGCGGTTACTCCACAGAAGTTTTCTTTCTGTTGTTTCTCGTTAAAGAATCTTTGTCATGAGTTAAATGAGTGAGAAAAAAGAGGCAGTATGCTCCAGCAGTTCTTCACTCGGTCTCGTAACTGGCTTACAAAGGTCCCAACGAGGCTTCTTGAACTTGTGCTTGTCTTATTCCCGGTGGTTCAGGTCCCGGTTTAAGAGGTTCAGCCCCGCGCAGTAGCAGCTCTTTCAATCCCAGACTGAGAGCCAGGACACACTCTGATAGACAGGCAGAGCCTCCTCCCGGTTGGTGGGCTGCACGGGAACTATAGACAAAGCCTTTGACGCCGCCCCATCTTGCCACACCTAGTCTCTCTACTCTATAATCACCATTTTGGCTCCCGGTCAGAGCTAAGACACACAGCCCCTCAGAGGACCCGACTTACACACACACACACACACACACACACACACAGACACCGACACACATATGGAGGCGAAATAAATAACACTCTGCAGCTCGATTCATCCTCTCCCTCTGGACGTGTTCAGGCAGACTCTTGTTTGTGTGTGTGTGTGTGTGTGTGTGTGTGTGTGTGTGTGTGTGTGTGTGTGTGTGTGTGTGTGTGTGTGTGTGTTGGGAAAACAGAGCTGCTCTTGCCTTGATCAACATTAAACACGACAAATATGCACAGCAATCCACGGTCTTCCTTAAGGGCTTCTCTACCAGAGCGCCATCTGCTTCATTCTCCTGGGTCAAAAGAAAACGCACAGCCTCTTTTCAAATCTCCCACTGTTACTGTATATTTTACCATGACCACATAACACAAGTGTGAGACTCTACTACTAACCCTAGCCTCAGGAAAGGATAGAACATGCACCTCACGCATAAGGATATACTCCAAGCATGCCTGCCAATGTTAATAGGAAAGCTCTATATGATTTTATCGCGGCTTCCTTAAAGAAAGGAGACGTTGGAGCTGCTTTACAGATCACTTTACTCGATCTCTCTCTCAATGTCTGGAGGCAGGAGTTGCCTAGAGCGCAGATAAACCTTGAATCTCCCAACCTGCTGGTACATTTAAAAGTGAGTGTGTAAAGTTGTTTCCCCTGCCTCCCAAAACTACTGTCAACGTGTCCTTGAGCAAGGCTCTTAATGAAATGCATCTCCATGTGTTCCACAAGCACCTGCTGCTGGCCAAACAGCCCGAAACAAAAATGGTTTCCAGCTTGCTTTTAATGGTAATTTAGTTTTGAGGCAGTTTGTCTGTTACTTGGAACTGTTGCTTCTCTCGCTGGCTGCATCTGCTCGATTTAACACAATGTGGCTGTAGGGCAACATCAGGAAACTTAAGGTAAAATCTGTGACTCCTAACAGCTTGCTGACATCACATGCCATAAAATGTAACTGTTGGATGAATCAGGACGTGAGAAGCATTTGGGAAACGTAAAACAAATACTGTTGGGTATTGGTAAGATACACAAGTCAAATCAAAGGATAACATCTCTCACTACTTTCCCGGCTTGATTCAAAATATTATCCCAGTAATAAGATTTACATTTGTCAAACAAGTTTGAAATGTGTTTATCCCTTTGGCTGTGACTGTATTGAACAAATTCATAAGAGACAATATGTATGCTTTCAACAAGGCATTTTCTACAACCACTTCATCTTCAAATCTAAGTATCAACATGTTTGAACCATGGAGGCAAAGTCCAATATTTCCTTTATGTCTTCAACACTGATAGGTGTCCCACAAATATGGTGTCTTCAATGTATCTTTCACCATTAACAGAAACATAATCAAAGACATTCGATTAGTCTCATGTTAACCTATGGTCCCTTACTACATTGTGGATTACGTAACAAACCTTGCTTTAATCGAGTCTCCTCTCTACACTTTAGTGTGACCGTCCTTCCATCAATGTGGTGTTGGAGAGAGACGGAGAGTAGTGGGAGGTGGCTGGTTTCGTGGGTCAACGTCAACCCAATGTGTTGGGTATTCCAAAACAAACCAACACAACTTCATAGAAATTGCAACCCAACAGCTAATAACTCCATACCCAACAGAAATAACCCAGCGAATTGGGTTCTCAGAATATCCATTTCCATAAAAATAACCCAATTAAATTAACCAACAGGTTCAACCTAGTGGTTGGGTTGACAAAATAACCCAACATTTTTAAGAGTGTAGCCTCTATTAAACCATGACTCCTGGTCCAAAACATAACAAATTATTGCCGTAAACTTCTCTCCAATATCCAATAGGGTGACTCCACTGGTTGCACACATAAGTCAGATTGTATAGAAGTCTATGGAATCAGGATCAGAATCAGAAACGGGTTTATTGCCAGGTAGAATTTGACTTGATGTCATGGTGCATACATAAAATTAAAAAAAATTAAAAAATCTCGATAACAAAAAGTCTAAGAAAAGACTATACTTCCCACTTCATTTATAACCTCAGTAAGCATTTTCCTTACAAGTTTATAGTCTCAACCCATGGTTTAAAATCTTCTTCAATACAGCATGATGTTCATTTTGGTAAGAAAGTTCCCATTCATATTAAAATGGGCATGCGGTCTGCTTCAGGGCACCTTGTGATAGACAGGGAGCTCAATGTGTTGTTTTCTCACATAGGTAACCCTTTCACAGTTTGTTTTTACTTCCTTGTGTCTTGTCAACCTCTGAGACTGTGGACCAACAATGACACTGATACTTCCATGTTACGCCTGAAGGTCACCTGACTACCGCCCTGGAGTCTCCTAATCCCTTTAGAATGGAGTGAAATTGTACAATGACAATACATGCATTGAATGCCATCAAGCTAAACAGATCTTTGGCGCTTCCTCTCACCCCCCCAAGTCCTTATGGTGTAATTTGAGAAGGTGCTTACTGCCTACGATGCATCAGGGTGCTCTTTTCTCATTTCAGCAGAACAACATCACTGGTGGGTGGGTTGTCAGGGGAGCATGGACACAGATGGGCTTCCAGTGTGAAACCCTATCGCCTTCCGCTTCCACTTGATGTTCTATTAGACCTCGGGCTAAATTGAATTGAATTCTCTTCCTGTTGTGCTCCCATTACGTGAAACATCTGCTGTGTGTGTGTGTGTGTGTGTGTGTGTGTGTGTGTGTGTGTGTGTGTGTGTCTCTCTGTGTCTGTGTGTGTGTGTGTGTGTGTGTGTGTGTGTGTGTGTGTGTGTGTGTGTGTGGCCTAGCATTACCATCCTTGTGGGGACCTACATCTGTTTACACAGTCACGTGTGGGGACTCGCCCTCCTTATGGGGACATAATGGAGGTCCCCATAAGGGAAATCATTAATTTTAGGGTGAAGACTTGGTTAAGTTAGGGTTAGGGTTAGGCATGTGTTGGTTATGGTTAAGGTTAGGATAAGTCTCCAGGAAATGCATGTAAGTAAATGTAATGTCCCCTGAAGTGACGTATACATGGTATGTGTGCGTGCGTGCGTGCGTGCGTGTGTGTGTGTGTGTGTGTGTGTGTGTGTGTGTGTGGTCTAAAGGGCACTTTGTGTTCATCAGATTACTTCGACTGATGTCAATTAATGAAAGTATCTAGGCCACTTTGAGGCGGAAGCCACATCGACTGCTACGCCGAGACAGTCTGCTAAGACAAGCGCTTTAGATAAGAATAAAAGGAAATGTTCCCAAACACAATACTGCTGATTTATTTCAGAAGACAATGTAATCATCAATTCACTTGGAATTTTTTATGGTGCGTTTTTAGAAGTAGATTAACTTTGATTCATGTCCACAAACATTTGTTTTCCTCAGAAGCTAATGCAGGAAAGATTTAGTGCAACTAATTTGCTTTCATTATCTCAAGAATACGGATGTTAAATCTTAAAGCTAACTCATACTAGGAGTTGTATGTCCAAATGTCGGAAGAAATACATCTTAGGAAGCATCCATTCAAAAAGTGTATATCTAGGAACCCTTTCAACCAAAAATAATCCACTTCCCTCTTTTTAATTTCAACCAGGTAATATTAGTTCTGCTGCTTTTTAATGTCCTCAAAGGCACTAAGCAGACCAAAGCTAAAAAGCGTTGTTCGATAGGTAAATAAAACATTTGAAGGGACCCTATTATGGTTTGGGGGGTTTTCATGTAGTGTCCATGTTTTAGTGCATGTGAATGGTCTACAAAGGCTATAATTCCAAAGTTTAAAGGGAGTTTCTCTAACACTTTCGCTTCTATTGGATAGCACTACTTTACATTGTATGTCATATGCAAAGCTCCGGGACATCTATAAGCGGTTGACCAATCACAACGGTCGGCCAGCTAACCAATCAGAGCAGACTGGGCTCTGGTTTCAGACAGAGGGTGAAAAGAGGTGCTGCATCACAGGCAGTATGAGAACCATAAAGAGCTTTTTGAACTTTAAAGCATGGAGACATGTCCCAGTAGAGACACACGGTATACATGTCAAACCTGGCAATGAACAACCTCTTTAACTGCAGGCCTTGCCGATCATACGAAAAACCGTCTGACATAAAAGCCAGCTGCCAAGTCAAAGGGAAATATATGGAGAGGATGTTATGAGAAGGGTAGACATTTGATCTTGAGAAAGAAGAGTGCATAAACGTCTCTTCAAGTAAAAGGTCAATCATTTTTTTTGAGAGGCTTTAGAGGGAGATGGAGCATCCTTACAGTATTACTAATGTTCCATCGCCAAGGGTTTCCCTATCGATCTTCATCATTCCCTTCACTCCCTCCTTTCTTTTACTTTAAGTATCGCTGCACTGCTATTGCATTTGGAATGGTGAAATAATAGCTTTCAACTCACTCAACAATATCCTTATTACTTTCCTTTCACACTATATTCAACCCTGTGTGTTATAATAGTAGGTTTCCCTTACAACTAAAGAGCATGCTCAAGGACGTTTGGAAGGGAAATGTACTTCCTGCTTGGTAAGGGTTGGAGTTTTAAACATTTGGTTAACACTGTACAAGACGGAAATGGAACAAAACTACTTGGTATGTTGAACGTAACATGAACATGGCTAGGATTAGTAAAAAAGTTTAAAATAATATGTAATGGTGAAAGTAGAGATGTCCCGATCCGATCACGTGATCGGGGATCGGAGCCGATCACGTGATTTTCAAAAGATCGGAATCGGGAGAAAAAAATACGGGGATTGGATTTTTTTTTAAATTTTTTTTTTATAATACTTTTTTTTTTAAACTATTGTATCAATGTTACAGAACAAAAATACATGTTCAAGACATCATCCTGAGGCCTTAGTTTAAGGTATCCAAAGACAAAATCATGTAGTGTTGCTTCTTTGGGGCTGTCTTCATAGACGCTGTTGCTTATTTCTCTCAAATCTGGCACAGATGGGCGCAGTGTATAATTGTGCAGTAAGGCCTAACAGACTCGAAAGCTTGC